TATCGCTACTAATATGGTGATTTCGACTTTTCACTAATCATAAACTGCCAGCTGCGCTTATTCAATGTAACATGCGGTTTACCTTACAGCATTCCTTTCTACATCGTTGTTCGATATTGTCCTGTTCTTTGTGCACAGCTTCAAAATACTCGGTATTCGGAAGCAGCTACTTCAGTTATTCCTCAAATGATCTCTTTGTTGAAAAATTCCTGTTAATAATGGCAACAATCGTATATGGCTTGAAGGCGTTGGATATTTCGTAAAACTTTCTTTTGCCTTACACGTTGATTGTTGTGCAAATAGCTTGAAAGACTTTTTAGTTTTGCTAATTTTAGTTTTGCGAAGATTTTTGAAATATAATTGGCACGAAGAAAATTGGCTTTTTTCTATGCTATGTTCCATAATATCCTTGGATCTCATTTGGTTGGGGCTCAAATAGTTTATTTTATGTGAAATGATCAAATGCTATATTCCTATGTAATCATTCGACAATTGCTGATGTTATCATTCGATAATTGCTAATGTTATTTGGTAGCTTTGCCTTTCCTTATTTGTTAATTGCAATGTCATATAAAACTTGGCAAATAATAAAGCAATTCAATAATGATATGTGTTTCATTTATATCATCACCTGATTCAACAATTACAATGTAATTTCTTCATTGTTGAAATTTTACTCTCTACATCGCATCGCTGCTTGAATTCCAAATTATTACTCAAGTAAAATGATCGCAATAGTTAATTGATTTCTTTTTTTAATTTTTCTTTTAGTTTTTTTTTGTATTAGAATTATCTTTCCAACATTAGATCGGAGAACATTCAAGCGAACAGATGGGGGTATCTTTCTGGTTGTTATGTTTCTTGAAAATTACTGCATTGACCGAGATAGCGAATTATTTTTTTAATAACATAGGTACCATTACTATTAACGGAACTGATGGATTACTGCTTTTCCCTGTAAAAATTTTATGAATTCAAAATATTCGAAATCTAATTTAACAATCTTTATCACTTCAAATCAAAAATTAGCCCTCGAAGTTGGTAGTAGTTGCCAGTTGCACTAATTCCACAAAATACAATAACTTATTATTTATGGTATAATAAAACGCCATGTTTAATTCTGTATTTTGGCAGCAGGAAAAAAAGAAACGAAATTGATGTATAAACGTATTTTATAAATAAAATGAAAAATGGCACAATGAAGGCGGAATTATCAGCAATTGAAATTCACTGACCATGACTATAAAAAGTTTTTACTGATAGCAACTTCATCCATTGATAGGCTGCACTAAATTACTGATAGCACTAAATTTTACTCATTGACAAATCATTTACTGATTTTATCCTGACCAATTAAATAAGTGGAATATTGACAGTACTAATATTTAACCAACTGATCAGTCTGATTATCGATAGCATTATTATTCTATCAATAATATTATAAATCAATTATTTGGTAGTTTTATTATTATTTAGCTTTTTATAGCTTATCATCATTATCATCAATAAGAACAATTGATCCTCGATGACCCACATTAGTATAAAGTGATAGTGGTGGTAATATTATCGGATTTACACCACCATTATCACCGTTATTCATTGATTCTTTTTTATGATTTATTATTGATTCACTTCTGGTTACTGATGATAATAAAACTATTTCTTCTGGTAATACTTCAAGATCAAAATTTTCAATTCTATTATTTTTATCATTTAATGGAAAATTTCCAATTTTTCCATGTTTTTCCTGTATTTGTTCATTATCATCTTTCATATGTGCTGGAGCTGAAGAAGTACGTTTATTATTAATTAGATAAGTTAATGGATGGAATATTTTACCGGTTGATCGTCGTTGACGTTGTCGTTGTCGTGTTGTTGCTACATTATCTTCACTAAAAGGTGGTCTTTCATCCTGAAATAATACTGATTTTTTCCCCTTCTCTTTTCAATTCTATTTTAATATGTTTGTGCTCAAATTAAATTTGATATCTAATAAAATAAAAAATTTTTATTTATTTATTTTAAATTTTATTAAAATTAATTAATAAAATATCATAATTTTATTATTCAAATATTGTTTTAATTTTTTTTTAAATACTAAAAAAAGTTGCTAAAAAATGTTGTAAACGAAAGAAAATTGTTGCTTAATACATTTTTTTTTGTATTATAATTGTCATCTTTTAAATATAATGATTTTAAAGAATTTAAAACAAAAACAAATAAATAAAATTAGTAAAATTATTGTTGAATAATAAATCATAATAGAGATCAAAGATGATGGTTTGCAAAAAAAAAAAAAAAAATATTTCTCATAGGCTATGATGAACTTTGAACTTTTCTAAATTCAGATCAATTTGTCGTTCTATCATTCTTTTGATACAACATATTTGAGTTGAAAAAAAGAAGACGATCATCGAAGAAATCATTCATTCCTTGCTGAATAACACTTTTCTTTCAAACAACGAAAAACAAGTTTTCCCTTTGTTTGAAGAAATTTTTCGATCCCTTCGTAAATATGCTTGCTTCACTAAATCATTCAACAACATATAACAATATCTTTTAAGAAGCCAAAGATACATCGATAGATTAGCAAAAATAGAATTCTTTTTTTTTATCAAATAAATTGATGACAAAAATTAAGGAAAGAAAAATTCCCAATCGATAAATCAATAATTTGTATCTTTCAATATATAACGTTCAAAAATAAATGATCATTAATCAAATGAATTAACAAATTTCAATAAATTTTTCATTTCATTACTTACCGAAACGCCAACAGCTAAATTGAGAGAATGTTGACGTTCAGTTGGAGTTTTTTTCAAAACTGTTTTTTGTTTTATTTTGAAATCCGGCCAACGATTCATATTTGCAAAATCACCGATTATATTAATTAATTCATCATCAATTTTGAAAGCCATTCATTTATAGATTATCAGATCTTTAATTAGCCATAATAATCTGTGAAAATATAGCAAAATTAAGTTTATGTTGACAAATTTTTGTGGGACAAATTTTCTAATAATTTCCATAAAGTTTAAAAAGTTTCAATTTTCAAAACTTTTATGATAATTTTTCCATTAAGTATAATATTGTTCAAACGTTGAAATATGTAAAATGTAAGAGTGTTCTTATTTAATTCTTAATGTGTTCCTATTTAATTCAAAGTGTTCATATTTAATTCTTAATAAAACAAATCAAAAAAATTTAATTAAACCTAAATCGATCAAAATTCTATGTTAATTACTAGATTTGAAAAAAATTGATATATTCATCTCATCAAATCTCAAAACTCTTCCATTACTTAAAGAAGCTAAAATTTGAAGTAAATCTTAATTATTCAATATTCGAATTCAAATTTAACATATACTTAAATTAATAAACAGAATGAAAAAGAATCTATCGAACTGAAGCATACTTCTAACTCAAACGTCTATTTCATTGATCATAATTCTATTGAAATTAAAATATATACAATTTGGTAAAGATTAATGAATGATGATCGATGAAATAGATGTTTTGAGTTTAATGAAAAAAAGAGAAAAACAAATAAACAACCAGTAGAAAGAATATTCTTTATTGATGTGAAGTGATACACAAAAATAAAAGAATAAGGGAAGGGAGAAAACCAACGCAATTTGTTTACTCCACCAACGCATTTGTTTACTCCCACCAACATACTTATTTACTTTACAATTGAAAATAAAAAAAGAAAATTGATGAATTAATAATTGACACCCATTTTCTACCTACTTTTTTCATCCCGTGGTCTTTCTATCTCCCAATTATAACCTCTGTTTGTTTCTTTATTATCTTCATACCATACATTCTTCATCTTATCCCCGTCTAACTCAATTAATATTACAAAAATGTCGAAATTTCTGCTGCAAAAAAAGATTTGCGCAATTTTACATTTTGCAAAAATAATAGTAATTTTTTCCATCCTATAAATATTTACCATAATAAATATAATTCAATAATTTGTTTAATATTCCTCCTTCAGTTTTAACTTTCCGATTTTTTGAAATAACAAGTTTTTGTGTGTTTAATCAATTTATTATTAATTAATTAAATTAAATAGAAAGAGGGAGAGAGAGTAATTAATTAAATTAAATAGAGAGAGGGAGAGAGGGAGAGAGAAAATATTTTAAAAAGTTTATGGAAAAGGAAGGAAACAAAAAAATGATTCAGAAATTAAGTTAAGCATTTCCTTTTTTGATAAAATATTCCAAATGATCGAATTAGAATAATAATTAATAACTATCACAAACGTTTCCCATTCGATCGATTCATAATTTGGACAATATATTATAATTTGCTGAATATTTTGCCGAATTATCTCATTTTATTGTAATTTAAAATAATATATTTAATTCTAAATAATTAGCTATTGACAACTGTAATCATTCCAAGAGTTTAGCATACAGAGGACAGATGACAATTATAAATTAAATTTTTAAATTTGAAGATTTTAGTAAAATTTAAATTAGCTTAATATACTTAAGTAAGACAAAGAAAAATTATGCATAATCTTTTAAATTACTTTTGACTTTTCTCCTCTTTTTCTATAATGAAGAAAATATAAGAGGAATGAATAATCTTTGTAAAATTTGATTATTAAGTAAAAATTTCTGAGAAGAGAAGTAAATAATAATATCTTTTTAAGGTAATAATATTTTTAGGAAGAATTACATTTGCTATTTTATATTATTATTCTGTCAAAGAAAACTATTTTATAATTTAAATTTAGGATGAAAGTTCGAGAAACAGTTAATGTTCCTAATAAAATATGAATGATCGTAAGAGCTTCGAAATCGAATTTTATTATTTATAATTAAAAAGTTCATAAGAAAGTTGTTCTCCCAATATTCAAAATGATATGTTTCTAATCTGAATCAATATATGCTCTTTTATATCTTCTTCTTCGTCTTTGTTTATATTTTATGTCTAAATTAATTAATTTCATTTTTTTAAGTGACAAAAATTTTATTTTCATGATTGAATGATTTATAACTTTATCACATTAATTCCATTCATACATTGCTGGAAAGCTAAAATCGAAACGATCGCTTATTCATTCTAGTCAAATATTGCGATAAAATGAAATGATTCACTCGCTGGGATATGTCAAAAAATAACGGACCATGAAAGTGCCCGAGAAGCATATAACACAACGATGAGGCAATTTTAGACACAGTGTAAGCCTTTTCACGAGAGATGCGGTCGGTCTCCAATTATTCTAAGGTTGTAATGTTTACGGGGCAACGGTTTAAGGGCTCCAGAAAGATGGATTAAAAGATGTCAAGTGATATGAGGAGTACTGGAGAAAGGTTTTAGGATAGAAAATAAGATTTAATGAGAATATTTGGGTTGTTTGTAATGTGATATTGGATAAGGTCACAATAATAGAAGTTACGATTTGGTCCAATAGTTATGTAAAAGTTAATTAATTGTAATGTGATATTCAAGAGGATAGCAGATAAAAGTTGTCGTTTGGCTCTTAGGCTTTGGTGATATCGAAAAACTAACTTTTTTGATGACTTTATTTTGAATATCTGCTTAAAACTTTATTTTCGTAATTTGGTAATCTTCGTTGTCTTTTTTCGGAAAGTTAGAGTTTCTAGAGAAATGGATGTAAAGATCTATAACGCTTTATAAATTTTTAAATTACTTTTTTTATCTGAATTCAAACTTTTAAATTACGTATTATCGGTTTTGGAAGCATAATAAACATCAACTGTTCAGTAGAGAAAACTTTGCCGTTTTTTATTTCTTTTGGATTTCTGTTTTGAAAAATTTCGTCTCAAAAAAATGTTAGTAAATTTTTCTCAGAAATTCGTGCGTCGCCGCTGTGGAAACATGAGAGATAGTCACGCTGCTGCTGCCGCCGCTGCGGCTGGTGTTACTGGAGGAGGTAGTGGAGGGGGAAATGGTAGTGAGGTCGAGACTGATGAAGATGCCGTTGTTGTACAGGCTATTTTGAACACATCACGAATGCAGAACGATATTCTTCGTCGTCTTGATACTGTCGAGGTGAACTGTTACATGAATAATAGAGCCAAAATATATGTTTAATTGATTTAGAGGGACTTGATTAATATCTTTGGTTTATTTTGGATTTTATTCCGTATACTAACTTAATTCTTTTTCGAAAGCTTAATGGATTTGTGGTTGAACTGTCATTTTATGTGCAACAGTTTTGTAACCGTTACATATGAATTATCTCAAGTTTCAATTTGTTCAGATTAGTGAAATTTGAATGATATAACTTTGACAAAATAAGAATGAGCTTTCTAAGCGAAATCAAATCAGTGTTATTATAGGCTATACAAAAGATGATTTTGGAAGAGTTGCGACGCGGTCAAGCTCAAGCAAGTGAACGTTTTATCGATATTTTGGATAAGGTATTTCTGAATATTTCTTGCTATCAATTTTTTATTATCTTAATACCATACATTGATATTCGTATGTTTTGAATAAGGAGCCATCTAGTTTTGTTGAGCTTGAGATAACCGACTTAAAATCGAAATTGAAACAATTATTTTCGTAGCGTCAAAGAGAAGAGATTGATCGTCTGATGAATATGGTTGCTATGCTGAGAATATCAAACACAGGAGATTCATATGGAAACTCGCAGCGCCCAGATCTTCGCCCAGGCAGATTTTTTAATATTTTAGTTGCAATATTGCTTTAATTAGTATCAAGTGATAGTTTTCTTATCGGATGAAAAATTAGGTTGCAAGGCGATTTTTGTCTTTTTAGTTTATAAAAGTGCTTCTATGTCATTGAGACTAAAGAAGATGAGGTAGAGGATTTCCAGCTTTTATTTCATAATTTTTTAATCGTTGTGATTCTGTGATATGCGAGCCAAGCTGTTGTACTTTGTTCCTTCTAGCCTCAATGAAATCCTCACTTCTGCTTATATATTCTTTTGATCGTATATTTTGTGATTTTTGCAACCATTACTGTTCCGTTCTGCAAGGAAATTTCTAGATCTTTCTTTTCATGTTTTGTGGTAACTGTTTCTAAAGTGTAGTGTATATAAATTTTTTTTAGCTATTGGAACATCCGTATCATCCCTTAATTATACAACACCGCAAGCATCTTTTACGAGAGCTGCTTCGCCCCGCTCGTTTTTTGGTGTAACTCCGTCAACGGATACCATCCAACAACCAGTCATTTCTCAGCAGTTTGCTAATCATATTATAGAACAACAACTGCAGTTTGCTGCACAACAGCAACGTGCTATGGTATGAATCTTTAATCATTAATTTCATTTTTTATTTTAAATAATACGAATTAATCATGTAGTGAGACAATGATATAGTCAGCTTATGTCAATTTCCAAACTATTTCTTTATATTCGCTTCCTAATTTGATCTTTGATTATTTTGATTCAACTGACCATAGCTGATTTAGTTCCTTAACGAAGGCAGTATTTAGACTGGATATTCCGCGTTGAAGATTTCGGATTGTTTTTTAGTTTATTTATTTATTTGCTGAAAAATATTCAAGAAATATCGGAATGTTTATAAATCAGATAATTTTCAGGCTTCAGTGTATGGATCACCACAGACAGCGCTAGTTTCTAGTGCATTCAGTCATCATCAGGTGCCTGGGTATGAAACTTTCATCTTTGTGATTAAAGGGAAGAAACAAGTTGAAAGGGGGTAGAAATTCGTTAGGGAAAGGAAAAGACGGTTTGTGTGGATGTGCTATTTTTTTGTACAGAGAAAAGGGTGAATAATGAAAATTAAGTGGGCGAGCTATAGTTCTGCCATCAGTTATCTGTAGCTTAACTTGAGATTAAGAGAAGTGAAAAATAATCTGAGAGAATACCAATTTGCAGTGCATTTTACAGGAATATTATTGCATGATTTGCATGTAAATATGAGAGGATATCATTGAACGTGCACATTTGAAACATTTTCGTCTTTTTCCCCAAAATTCTTCTAACTGACAGACTGAAGTAATTGAAACTACCGGATCTTATGGCTTTTTTTATTTTCGCTTCTGATTTAGATTTTGTACCAGTGTACCTTTTCCAATCCAACAAACAGCCTTATTTCCAAATGCAGTGACAACTCATTTGCAACAGCAACCTTTATTACAGCTCCCAGTTACTTCATCAACTGTGACAGGTGCTTATAAACATTTCTTCATTTTACAAAGTATTTGCGTGTCGCAATTAATTTTTACTACTCATGTTTGCAAATTGAAACTCCCTATTTCTGATCTTCTGTGATGTTTTATACCATGTATTGCCATATTCCTTCCTATCCATCAAATCATTTAGTGTTAAATTCATCTAATATACTGAGCGTTTGTGGCCTTAGGAAATTGGTTTGTTATTAATCTTTCGTGAATGTTATCATTTCTTATTCACGCGACTTATCCCTTATTATATGTAGTTAGCAGTAGTACCTCTACCAAATTTTCATTAATAAGTGAAACTAACTATGAATTTGCTGAAATTCAAATATATATACCATCAGGGCCATAGGAGCTGCTTAGTATATCCAGGGATAGAGCTCTCCACTTTCATCCATATGTTGTTAGGATGTTAATAAAATACTTCGTACACTTTATTTATTCTGTTACTAATATTATAGTTGTGTCGAATACATCGGCTGGTTTAACAAAGTCATCTTCGACTGCAGCTCCAATAACTTCATCTAAGGCGGTCCCATCTCAGCAGACGCAGTCACAAGCAATTTTTGGAAATCAAGCAAAAACGAACACACCGTTCATGTTTGGAGTACCTGTCAAGCGTAAGCTTATGCGCTCACTGTTTATGTCATAGCTCACATTTCTGTTGTTATTTTTTATCGAGTAAAATGTTTATGTTTTCTTGCAAATTTAATTCTGCTAAAATTTCAGAAGAAGTGTCAACTACTGCAGCATCCGCTACAGTTACAACCGCTTCACTTCCGGCTAAACCGATTCCTGCAGGAACTACGACGACTTACAGTACTCCTTTGAGCACATTTGAAAAATTATTTTCTTCTACACCGAAAAATAGTCAGGAGGCGGAAAAGAAGGATGAATGGGGAAGCAGTTTGATGACACCAAAAAGCGCTGGTAGTGAAGCTTTAGTAAAAAATGAATCAACAGGTAAAATAGCTATCGGACATCTTTAAATACATATTTTCCAAACAATTCTGATATGGAATTGTTTCGCAATTCTCGGTATTTTCATATCGTGCGTATTTTAATGATAGTTCGCCCGAAGAAAATAAAGAGTGATTTTGAAATAAGAAAGCATCTTAAAGGTGATGATGATGAAGCACCAGAACACTTTGAGCCATCTATTCATTTTGAACCCGTCGTTCCGCTGCCGGAACTTGTTGAACTAACAACGGGCGAGGAAAATGAAGTGGTAAGTTCTCGTTTTGGTAATTCTTGTATCTTATAGAGTTTCTCTCTTCACATTGTTTCTCCGGTATAAAAAAAAAGTACTTTAGAGAAGTTATGCAAAACGAAATTTTTGGAACAAAACAAACAAGACTAAATGTAACTTAACTACAAACAAAAAGTGATAAAAATACATTAAACGTTTTAAAAATGCTTTTTAAAATATGTTTTATCAATACCAGATAAAAATAGTAGTTTCTTAAAAACTAACAACACTCAAATCTTGATATTTTAATTTTATTACTCATAAGCTTTAATAAAATCTTTCACTAGTATGCAGTACCAAAAAATAATATTAAAAAGAATCAAATTTTTAAATCTTTTGGACCGTAAATAAATGTTTTTGATAAAAACTTAAAAATTGACCTAATAAATAACTTGAAAACCACCGCTTTCAACACTCCAAAAAAGTCAATTCTAAAATAATAGGTATAAAGCTATAGTTAAAATCACAAATCTTAGAACAATGAGTATGAAACAAACCGCAACAAGAAAAATTAGAAATAATCTTAAGTCAGCAAACCATTCAAAGCATCGATCTTAATAAATACTTAGGAATAAGAAAAGAATGAACAATATCATGAGGAATATAATAAACTTCTACATCAACCCCAACGGGCAAAATACAGTGGTTGTCAACATCAAATAAACTAAACTCACCAACATCTGAATCATCCAAAGAATCAAAGCACAATTTACCACTGTCGCCATGCTCATAACTGCGCATCACTGAGATGGCCAATAACTTTTAAAGTCAACTCAGATTGACGAAATATATGTCCGAAATAAATGTGATACTGAGTCAGTCAAAAACCTGTGTCACCCATCAGCTAGGGAATCAACAGTTAATACTCTCAGAAACAATTTAGTCATACTACAGTCATTTCACTTCAAACTAGACTTAAAAGAATTACCAAAAAATAAGCATTATAACTAGTCGAAAATAACAAAAAACCTTAAAAAGTAATATAGGAATAATAATTATGAATGTATTAGCAACAAAGTATGTAAAAACTACCTGGATGACACAATTTTGAAGTAAATTATTACCTTAAAAACCCTCTTAAACTTCACAGACAACGAAACTTTATTTTTGACGGCCTTGAAAGAAATTGAGAATCATCGTTCATCGTTCGTTCTTTGAAACGTCTTATTGAAATCTTTCATACAAATGTCATAGCGATTTTGGTAAAACTTTGTTTTACAGGTTAAATTTGCTGGACGGTGCAGGTTGTTCCGATTTGTTGACAATGAATACAAGGAACGAGGTATCGGAATGTTAAAAATTCTAGAAAATCCAAAAACAAAAATATCTCGCATAGTTATGCGCCGTGATCAAGTTCATAAGGTGATTGCTTTATTTAATTGTATGCTTTTATATCTATCATTCTTCAATAAATCGAACAACTAGTAGTTTTTTTGCTTCTCGCTGCATATTCTCACTTTTCCTTAGCTTTTTTAAGAAGTTTCATGCTTTTATTGAATAGCAACCATTTATGACAAAGCGTAGTTTTATGGCATATATCTAGTTTAACTTAAGTATTTTAACTTTGTTTTTTAAAAAATACTTCTGGAAAATCACCCATGTCCGCTTTTTAGGAGAGCGTGGAAAATATCTGATTTGATATTTGATATTCGGTAGTGTAATGTCACAATTATTCAGCTAATTGGTTTTTTAAATCCATATGTTATTTGTATAATAATTTAGGTTTGTGCCAATCATACGATTCAATCGGCAATGAATCTAACACCATTACAAAAATCTGATCGAGCGTTTGTTTGGCTTGCACAAGATTTCGCGGAAGAAGAAAGGATGGAGAAATTTGCTGCTCGTTTTAAAACGGCTGAAATTGCAAAAAATTTTGAAGCTGCATTCAACGCTGCTCGAGATGCGGTTTCATCAGCAGGTAATAGAATTAATTTTACCAATTTCAGTCTTCTTTTTCTATGTAAATCCTATACATGCATCAATATTTTAGAAAGAAATATTTTATCCGACTTTTAATGAAATGCTTATTTTGAATCAAACTTTGGAATCCTAGTAACAACAATTAATATAGCATCGGACGACAAGGAAAAGGGAAAAGAACTGAAAGGAAGTGAAGGAGGAAAGAGTGATAGTGCAAAAGGCTTTGGTGATGCGTTCAAACCACCAGCGGGAAGGTAAACTTACTTCGCCTTTATTGCCCTTTTTAGTTTGTAATTTCAAAAATAGATCAATAAATATTTATTGATTGTATTCTTTTTTGTGATTTTAGTTTATTTTAGAAGTTACTTCTCATATTTTCTTGATGTTTAGTTGGTCATGCAGCGCTTGCTACCTATTAAATACAGTAAATGCAACTGCTTGTGTATGTTGTGGCAAAGCCAAAGATGGTGGAAGTGATTCCACAACTTCAGCTTCTTCGATCTTCTCAAGGCATCTAATTTTGAATTTCTAGATTTTTTTCGCTTTTTTCAAAGACACCTTACTCCTTGTTTGTTTTTATATAATTATTCCCTGAAAAATGGGAATTCTAATGTAATACATTTCAGCAAACCAACATCGACAGTTGCGCCGATTAAAGGTAGTAGTGGAATCACTTTTGGTTTTCGCGCTGACAGCTCACCTGCAACCACTACAACTGCAAGCGTTACCACTACAACTGAAAGTGTTACCACCACAACTGCGACATTTAACAGGTATTTCTAGATTGCGTATTTCTCTGCTTATTCAGTGATCTATTTCATGTTTTGTAGATTTCTAGATACTCATTGGCCTGTCAGTGATAATAATGTCCTTTTAGTGGGCTTCCTACATTCAGTTTCAAGCCAACTACAACCGCAGCTGCATCTGCAAATGTTGCCACAACGACTGCTGCATTTGGTAGCTTTACTACGCGACCCATGACAACAACCACAAACACTACAAACTCTGTTTTTCGCTCGGTTGCGACTGCTGCAACAATAAATGCTTCGCCAGCGCCAAGTGTGCCTAATTTCAGTTTTAAATTTAGTCCATCAAACTGTGCTACATTCGGTGGTTCACCGTCTTTTGGGACGAAGCCATCTTTCGCTACCACCACTTCGACCGAAAGTTAGTGAACTTTTTGAAGTTCTTACATGATATTTATCTGCTCGTTAAATCAATTATAAATTAATAACCATTTCAAAGTCATTCATAGTGCATGTAGTGCATAACAGAGAGCAACAAAAATTTATGAGCTATGGGCGATAGAGACGTTGAGTCGACTCATCTACGAAAATTGGAGCTCGTTGAAGATGCATCTAGGTTTTTGGGCGGCTGGAAATTGAATCACGAACGGAGAAGAGTAACTATAATGCTCGACTAAATTGCTTTACTCTTTGATCTTTAACGATGATGAACTCCCAATACGAGTGCTAATACCACTTTAAGAAAAATGTTTGTTGAGAAATGGTTTTTTGCATTCTTACCGTTTTGAGCTTTCTTCATTTTTACCGATCAGTGATTATATTATAACATACACTATTTCAGCAGCAGCAGCAGCAGCAGAGAATGCTGACGTAAGTGCGAAATCATCCCTGTTTGGTGGTTCTGCATTTAGTGAGTACTTGTTCGATTTAGTTTCAGTAGATTCTGAGCGTTTGAATATTTTTATTTAAAATTGGATTCTTATCTGTTTGTTCAATTACTATCGTTTTATATACTTCAGAATATCTCTACATTTTATTGGTATACAAAGAGATGTGTTTCAGCTGGTGGGTCTGCCTTTGGGAAGTCGTCTTCCAGTGGTGGATTTGCTGCATTAGCGGCAAAAGCAAAATCTGAAACGCCTTTAAAGCCTGCTGTAGGAAATAAAGTTATTACACCATTTGCGGATGGCAAATTCAATTCGTCGGTGAATTCTGTTAGTTTCTGAAAAGTGTATTATTTTGAATACAGTGCTGGGATTTTAAGAGATAACTTTATAAAATGCGTTCATGTAATATTTCGTCTGTATTCTGCATCGAATGATGTTTCAGATTTTCTCCTCAAGCACTAAGCAAAAATCTATATCCAAAGAGAAGAATGAAGAGAAAGAAGATAATTCAGATGATGCTGAAGAGTTTGAGCCGAATGCACATTACGAACCTGTGATTCCTTTACCGTCGCTTATAGAAGTAAAAACCGGGGAGGAAGGTGAACAGGTAAAACTTTTGTTTTTTACTAAATTTTTTTATTCGTTCATTTTTCAGCTTGATTTACTTATCCGTGTCCACACTTTACTTAACCAAAATTTTGATTAATATGAATGTGTTCTGTTTTCAGGTGATGTTCAAAGCTCGAGCGAAACTATATCGTTATGTAGCTGAGACGAAAGAATACAAAGAACGCGGAGTCGGTGATATCAAGGTTTATTCCATTGTTGAATCATAATAAAATATGAGTTTTTCAACTGTATAGGAAAAAAATATAGGATGTTGATCACAAAAGTTCGTTGACAATATATAGCTAATGGTTCGGAAATTGCTCATAATTTCCGAATGTTGCATATAGTATGCAATTGTCTGATAGGGATTAATGAGACAAAAAGAAAAATGTATTAATAACTGGATAAAATGGCATAGTTACAGTAGCAATAAGGAATTTTTTTAATAGATTCTCTTCAATCCTGAAACAAAGCGGTACCGCATTGTTATGCGACGAGATCAAGTATTCAAAGTCTGCGCTAATACACCTATAACGGATAACTCAAATATTACGAAGAAAACGAACACCGACAATGCATGTATGTGGATGTGCAGGGTAATAATAATTTCAATATCTTCAGCTTGTCCATTGGTAATTAGTGTTATATGTATGTCCTATTGTTCTGTTTATTGATATGTATAGCACTGCTGCTGCGCCTTCGTTAATGGGTGTTTATAAAATTAAAAGAGGTTTTTACGTATCACTCCCTAAGGTAAATTCATTTCAGGATTACTCGGAAAAAAAAGAAGGAACGAATGAATATTTTGTTGCCAAATTCAAGGATGCGAGTTTAGCAGATGAATTTATCCTTGCGTTTCAAAATGCTGCGGCACGTAAATTTCCTCCTCCGGAACAGAAGGACGCGTCTGCAGCAGGTAAGTTCTTATTAATTTTGTGTGGATGTGACCATATAGAGAAAGAGATGTGGGAGTAATAATAAAATCCTAAAATTTAGTATATTGAGATTGACTTCTGAAAGATAATTCAAAAAATCCGACCACGATTGGAATGTTTATTTTTCTTTAAGGAGACGGCACTTTACCAAAAATTTCTGATGCTTGCAAGAAACTAGAGGCATCTTTAAATACTCCGCAGAAGCAAAATCGAAGGCTCGAGAAGGACAGTGAACAAGTCGGTGATAAATCTGAAAAAGATGGTGACAGTACTGAAGACTACTATGATGATGGGGACTTTGATGATGAATATGAACTTTCCACACACAAAGTGAAAGCTACAATAAGTGAAGCGTATGCATCTCCATTGAAACCTGTGAGTTAATTTTTGCTGAACAAGTTTTGGAATTCGTGAAGTTCAATTTATAAAATATTCAGAGCAAACCGATCGAATTCACTGGATTTATTACACTGCGATTCATAGGCAGTAGACACATGAGAATTGATCTATACAACGATAATGAAGAAACGCAGTGGTCACATGTAATCGAACTGGAAGACACTATTTCCCATCAGGTACATTAAATTTGCCGTTGACTTGAAAATTACGTCAGAAGGAATAGATTGTGGTAGTTTAAGCATGCCTCAAAGTTTTGAAATTTTAAATGAAACATGATTTACAGGATAAGAAACAAATTAAATATGTTGCCGTGGGCGAGAAATCACAGAATGAACAAGTAGTGTTGGAATTCACGGATGAAATGGAATGTGAAAGGACATACTTTGATCTCAAAGAGGTAATTTTAGCGTTTCGTCCTACGACAAGGACCCAAAACCGTCGCGCAACTTCAAATTGATTTTCAAAACTTCAAATTTCAAATTGACAGTGAAAGATAATTCTTGATGATTATCCCTGATCTCTGTGGAAGATAACGTCGCTATCATGAGATAGAGTCAAGGATAATTTGGAAAAGCTAGAGGAAAAAGACAAAATTTTCTCATGGAAAATTTCCTGTTAATAAGGATCCAGTATTCTTTCCTTCCTAGTGGCATTTTAACATTTCATTTCTAGTGAATAGTGACATTTCATTCACAATATCGGATTCATAAATTTATCTCTCTTTAGGGGATACATCTCTTGGAGGAACATTCGGATCAAGAATAATCAAGTGCAAATTTTATGTGGTTTTTTCTTCTCGGACAATTTGTCGTCTGTGGACACTGACAAAAATATTTGTACGATGTAATATGCATTCATTTTGATGCTTATGAATGAAAGGATAAACAAACACTTCACATATCACTCTCTTTTGGTTTACTTTTCCTGTCATTGGTACATAAATGATTGTCTCCATTATGTTACATTAAATAGAGAGAGAGTTTTTGAACCAAATGCAGTTCACATGTCAAAGTGGGGTCGCTCAGCTCCAGCGAATTAGCCATATCTTTAACAAGTCCATATAGGTTTTTGAATATCATTCCAAAAACAAAATTATCTTTGGAAGACAGTGCAGGAAATTTCTAGGGAAATATTCTAATATCAAAGTTCTAGATTTTCAGTGGTTATCAAATGATGATGACTTGTTATGTCGCGTACATCTTCAGTATGTAGAATCTCTACCGCATGAGGTAGTATCTTCTCTAACACTTCAAAGCATTCCTATAATGTCTTTATATTCATTTATCCCTGAAAATGATTAAGATTTTCGTTTTGAGTTTTGTGCCTATTTAGTTGGTTACTTGTATCCTTGTGGGCCTAGATCTAATGTATGAACTTTGTGTTGTTCGGTTTTTGTGCTATATCTTAAGTCGTAGTCAGAAGTCAGAAAAATTCATTTCCCGAGCAAAGCAAACTTACCCTAACAGCGTTCGGACTTCCGGGTAGATTAACAATTAGCGTAGAACCACGGATACCTGCACATAGCCGTGATAATGCAGCAAGTGGTGTAGCTTGCAATGAATGCATATGAAGTGCTGTTTCCAATCCCCCACATCGTTTTTCGATAATATTTTGTGTTGCCTAAATGAAAGTTTACTCTTAGTTCGACTGGTTCCCACTTTCTTAAAACAGTTTTATTTTTTACAAACGAAGTTTATGTTTAAGTGCAGTTTAGCTTCTCATGTTTATCTATATTTTAAAAGAAAAATTCCAGCTGCTATCACAATAAATTGCATAAAAGATAAGGCCATTAACGATGAAAGTTAAGTAGGAAAACTAACTTCAGGAGTAACATCTCGTGGTGAAAAGCCCGTTCCGCCTGTCGATATAATCACATCTAAAGGACAGATTTTGAGTCACAAGTTAGAATAAAATGGGTTCTCCATGGGGTAAACCTAAAATAATACTGTTACAAGAGTATAATATCACTTGCATTGGTGGATTGATTACTTTCCTATCACATTCATCATAGAATTTCTAACTTTAGAAGTAATAAAGTGGTAATAAGGGAACATGGAAGCTTGTATCAATCCTTTTAATCTTTTCTGATATTGTTACTTATTTTTACTAGTAATCATGTGATCATCAAGAATGTTCCCTTGAGAAGAAGTAAAACATACCAAATGTTTTGCACAAATTAATTAACATGTCCGTAATTTTTTGCTTTTCATCTGGTACCAGGAAATTTTCCACATCTGGATCGGAAATGCTGCAGAAAAAAAGCAACTTTTAAAATTGCCTAAAATTTACTTTTAACAAATCGAATTCATAGTTTCTGAAACTTAGACTAGATGTAAAATAAATATCAATAATAATAATAATTGCAAATTAGCAATTATTGTCTTCGACATTACTCTATTTATATCTTAAAGTAATTTAAACAAACATGTTCGAATTAAATATCAATTGCCGAAGTGTTGGGCCACTGATATCCTCCCTTGTTCTTTTCGAAGAAGAATCGCTTACTGTAATAAATACAAATATGGAAAGATTGTTGTGAAATAAATTCAATTTGAATTAAATGAATAAATAATGAAATAAGTCAAATATGCCGCCATTCAGGAACCACGTAATAAATGGGCGAGGTTCACCGTCAGCTCGACAACGGAATGTTACAGTTGAGCCTAGTGATACTTTCTGATTTTCTGGAGTTTCTGTAATAACAGGAGGAGAGCTGG